GAGTTCAGGAATTTTTCTGTCTCTATTTCTTTCATGTTGGTGCCACTTACCCACATCCTTTAAAAAAAACTTTTTTTTCTCATACTTTCTTGTGAATATTTTAACATTTTTGAATGGTGGTCCCAAACAGTAAGCTACGATTTCCGTTTCAGGATTGTGCTTCCCATGTTTTGTTTGCCATCTTGTGGCTGGCAGGAAGCAGTGCTTGGGCCAACAGTCTTACCAACCTAGGAATGGCTACAAGTGTCAATAACATCATAGGAGAAAATCCAGACCTCTGTAAACCCAAGATGTGCATTGGTGACAGGGAACCCAATTATGCAAAGCTAGTCATATCTGTGGTGAGTACTACTTGATTTTTAACCCATTGCTACCATTATTTTTTATGCATTTATTTATTTATTTATTTTAATTAACCTTGATAAAGTCATAGGAGATATCTTACCTTATTGATTGTATTGTTAACCTCATTTGTGACTCTCCCTCAAGTGCTCTCCAGCCTGTGCTGTGGCTCACATTCCATAGGTTATGAGGTGTTTCTTGTTTTTTTTTATGAATTGATTGTTAGAAGCATGTTATCTGAAGGGGGAGGGAGTTACTCAGGTAGTCCCCTTTATTTAACTCCTCATGTTCATTACGGTAATACACAGGCTTGTTATTATTTGGTAAAGAGCAAGGTGAGGGGCTAGTAATCCATTTGTGAATTAAAAGACAGTGTTTACAGTTTGCCATGAGTTGTCCAACTTGACTTACAGCAAAAAGAAAAAAAAAAGAAAAGCTTTCTCTCTAAGAGGGAAGAGATGTTTGTGGACAACTTTCATTTTTACTTGTTGTTGCCTAAATTGTTGAAGGCTTTGATTATTATTGGATAGAATTAATTGCATGAAATTCTGTGTTTACATGTTTATTTTCCTGACAAATGGCTCAAATTTAAATTATATTTTGTAGTCTTCTAATTTTCAGGAAGGATATAATAACACAACCCAGACAAAATATAATTGTTCAACAGCGAGCAAACAGCTCACAGGAATGGTCCTGCTTTCCTTTTTAACCACTAGCTGACGGATGGCATGTACGTACATGCCATGGCTGTTGTGGACTGAAAAACGGATGGCAGCATATCATGCCCATTCATGCGCCATTGGCTCGTCGGACGGAGCTTGTTTTTCTCCGATAGTTGAGGCTTCATTTATTTGATAAAATTCTTTAGGGAATAGCACCTATAATGAAGGTAAACCTTCAAAATTATAATATTTTTATTAATTATAGAAAAATAAGTAGCTTTTAGGTTCCAAATGTCGCTTGCAAACTACCGAACTAGCCAGGTGCAAACGGGAAACTGCCGATGCGCGCCAACAATCCTGTTATTATGTCCACTTGCCAAACTTTTATACCCATCGGCATTGGGTTAATACAGTGCAGTAAAGGAGCATAGTTAGAGTCAGCTGGCCTACAGCTTGCACTGTGCAATATAAGAATGTTGTGTAGCATTTATTCCTTGTTATTTTGTTAGACTTTATATGACATTTTGTTTTGCTACCTGTGGAATGCGCCCGAGTGGGGAATGGGGATGACCTGTTGTGACTGTCTCTGTCAGGAAAATCTTAGGAATCATCTTTTGTTGCTCTTATGGGATTTAGTTGAACCAATTGATTGTGAATTTTGTTTATACATTCGTGGCTTCACAAGCACTTAGTTACCAAGAGGCAATTGGTAGGCTTACCTGACCTCACCTGATATGGGCATTCCTTGAATTTTCTGGAAACTGTTTAATTTTTTCTTTTGCTGTGATTATCTCTGGTATTATTGCTATTGACCTTGAGATTGTTATAATGTTATCAAGACTAATAGCAATAAGAAATAAGAAGTAGAAATCTCCAAAAATCAAGGAATAGGATGGGCAGGGGAGCTCATCAGGTAGAACAGGTAAAAGTTTTGTGGGCCTGTGTATGTATAAGCAAAATTGATCAACTAAATTCACAAGGCATGTATGTCACATCAACCCAGGTGTAAGAGTTGAGTGTAAAGCAATATTTCCTGTTTTTTGTCATCTTTTCTAAATTCTTTCTATAATTGCAGATTCTTGGATTTTTGAATGTGTTCCTGTGGGCAAGCAACCTGTGGTTCCTGTACAAAGAAACTCACTACTTCAAGGCCAAAACGCAGAACCAGGCAGATGGTACTAACCCCATGGGAGCTGCTTGAGGTGTACGGGGACAGGAACATCCAGAGGGAGTTTGGATCAAATTGAAGGAGGTGCATGAGCATTGTTGGTTACTCAGAAGTGCCCTCTTATGGTTTCCTTTTTGCCAAACTCAGATTTAAGCATCTGACTTTTTTTTTTTTTTTTGCGTTTGTTTTTTCTTCATCTTCTTTTTGTTGTATTGTTTTGTTTTTCTAGTTTAGCTTTTTGACTTTTTTTTTTTATACAACTGATTTTTATAATAGCAATTCATTAGTGATTGTTTTTTTTCTTTCTTTTTAGGATATTTTATGTACCTGAGTTTATGTTGAGATGCAGTTGATTTTGTGCAAGATCTGAAAATGTGATTTCTGTTCATAACCTATATTCTTCTAATTTAATAAGATGTGTTGAGTTTCTTTTGGAATACTGACAATAGATCCAAAAATATTCAAATATATAAGAAAGAAGTATTTTTTCTACCTTGGCATATTGTTAATTATGGTTTATTTTTCTTGATTAAGAAGCACACAGTCAGAATCACATAAATGAATCAGACTTAAAACCGACACAGAACCAGTGTAAGTAGTGTGATAATGAATTGCAAACTTAAAAGCATGATTATTTTCTAAGGAGACGGCATCTGTTCAGGCCGATCAACTCTTGTTTAAGATATGCAAGTCAGTCACATATTGACTGCAGCATCATTTCAGCTTGAGTGAACATGAAAATAAGTATGCCTTTAATGTTGCCCTCCCCCCACTTTTTTATTTTTTTTTTTTTACTTTGTGTCTGTTAACTGCTGTATAGTGTAAAATTCTACCTTTCTCTGTGACCTAATAGTCGACCAAGATGTACAACATTACAGAAATATAATAGTTCACAAAAATTATAAATTGTGTGTATTCATAAACAGTATGTACATAATCATGCAACTAAATGAATACCTTTTGTGAAGACAATGTTGTCATTTGTGGTCTTTCAAGTGTGTTTGTAGCTGATAGTTATTGTAATTGTTAGAACACATTTGTTATTGATGTTCCAGTTCATAATTCAATTATTTCACTTTGATATGAGTATGATAATGTGAAATAAATGTATAAGAATTCATTATATCTTTGCAATACTGATCCATCCAGGACCTACCTGTTTGCCATATCTCTTACACAATTCATTATCTGTGAAAATTGGTGTGTGCTTGCATCTATACAGATATATGCACCCATATTTCCACTTCAGCAAAATAGGAGCCCTCATATGCAGACTGGTGCTTGTACATAACTTTTTTACTAATCTAAAATCATAGTTGTGCCAAAACTGCTACATCTGCAGTCAGATGTTTTCCACCTCACCATCACTAGAGGTGTTCCTATTATGTAGCGTAGTCGAACACTTACATTATGATTGCAGTTACTAGCTTTGCTCTTACATTTTGTATCCTTGGTTGATTTTAGTCCTGTTGCAAAAAGTTCTCTCAGGAAATAGTTCCAGTAATAATGTCTTTGGCTAGAGTAAGTAGATGATGATCATCTTTCAAGTGTATGTTTGTTCTCAGACAGGAGGAGAGTCTATGCTGTTTTTTTCTTAATGAAATCATGTTGTAGAAAGAATGTAAATGATAAGGATACTTAAAGCTTGTTCCCAGCACATGAGTACAGTTCTCCAGTTGGTAAGTGTGATGTTATATTTTGTTATCTTTCTGTGAGTTCCATAACCAAAGATGCCAGACGTTGGCACTTTTTCTGATTGCTGACTGATGCAGTGATATCTAGCTTGGAGTGAAAAGAAATTAAGGATACAGAGAATGGCAGACAAGGAGGCACTGGTTGGAAAAGCAGTGGAAGACCAAAGAAGTTATTAATCAAACTGCTCTGTATGAATTCCTCATATTGAATGCTGAAATTAGTTTTGTTAATAAAGATATTTTCTGGTATAAATGGTTCAGAAATTAGTTTTCTCAAAGGATATTTTTGTACTTGGTCTCAATTTCTGGTAATGTTAAAATACATCCAGTGAAGGTGAGTGATGCAAAGACCACAATATTTTTCTGTACTCAATACTACCTGTCAAGAGACAATGTCTGGTTTGCCTGTGTTTTATTGCAAGTATTGAAGAGAATTCATGCTTTCTTTTTTATTTCTTCAAATTTTATGGAAGGTTATGTAAGGGTTTTGCCTCTCTTTATTACAAATGATTAGCCGTAACGGATGTAATATTTTGCTTTAAGTGATTTGTCATATGAGATTTTTGCACTCTGGGGGAATGTGTTGGAGCAGTATCAGAATTCCTATAAAGACATACTGTACTGTGTAGAAAAATGTTGTAGTATTAGAAAAAAGAAAAGAAAAGAAAAAGTCAAAGAAAATTGATAACATTGTTGAATTGGTAACATAAAAAATTAAGGTCATATTTCAAGACAAAGTTGTAAGAATAACAACATTGCATAGGATGTAACTACTCTTCATTTTTGTCTAGTATTCTTGTAAATGATTAATACTAATTATGTAGAGAAGGTTTTGAAGTACTTGTGTACCATCTGTTTTGTATTTTAATTCTATGCAAGGGGATAAAAAAGCGCAAAATTGAATATGAAGTTATTTTGTTATATTGAATTGGTAGCTGCCAATGAAATGGCAGGATGATGGCTACATATATGACTTGCTTATGTTCTGCAAATAGCAAGTACTTTGAAATAGACTGAAGTGATTCAGAGCATTAAATTGTCCATTAAAAACTCATTGATAATTCAGTCATTTAAATTTGTTTCTGATCCCTGTACACATTCTCAGAAGTATAGAGAGTAGGGGAGTTATTCACGAAAGGTCTAAGACTTCTTTGCGATTTTGTCTCTGATTTGCACTGTTGCCACATCTCAAAGTTGATGCTAGTTATAGAATTAACATATAAATTGTTATAGACCTTTTTTGATAATCTATTGTAATGATAAGATATGGTAAATATGGCAATAAATCTTACTGATATCATTGTGTACGCACAAAATTAAAGACAGCCTTAACGTTTGTGAATAGAAAATAGCTGTAAAATATAAGAAATGACTAAATTAACGTTTGACAACCAATCAAAAGGGTCTTCCAAGTTTCTCCTATCCTATTTGATGGAGAATTATCTTGAAATTTGAGTAAATTTGCATTATAGTTTTAAGACTGTCCTTACATGCGTGGGACACTTCCACACCTGTCATAAAACTTTGACCGATTCATAGACAAATTTGAAGATAATTCAGGGTTAGATATGATGGGAAAAAAATTGGAAGACCCTTTTGATTGATTATCAACCATTACTTTAGTTGTTTCTTATATTTTACAGCTATTTTCTATTAACAAACATAAGGACTGTCTTTGATTTTGTCCTTATGCATAAGGATCGTCTTAAATTTGTTTTTATGCAAATTTTCCTTTGTTGGAGATTATTCCACTTTGGAAATAATAAAAGCTTTGAGGCCACATTTCATCATTTATCAAACCTTAATTGAGCCGTATGCTAATTTTTAATGCTGTATTTTATTTAAAAAAAAACACATAGTGTCACATGCCTTTTCAGCTGATGCAATAACAATAAATGCAGGCATTCCATATCTTATTTAAATATACTGTGTGTAATATTACCATTGCCATATTTTTCATATCTTATCATAGTAGAATATCAAAATAGGGTCTATAAAAATTTACATAATATTTCTATTACCAGCAGTAACTTTGAGATGTGGCAGCAGTGCAAATCACAAAGAAAAGTATTAGACCTCTCATGAATGCCGCCCCAGGTCTTTTGTGAGTTTCTTACAATGTAATGAAGAACAATAGTCTATGCAGTCTTTTTGATGCTCAACATTTCTCAGATTTCCTTTCTTTCCATCATTCTTTGGAAGTTGTATTTATTAATTTTATTTTTTATATATTGCACTATTTGTAATATCACTCTCATTTTTATTTGTTGCTTCTTATTAGTGCAGTTATGGTGAAATGTCTTACTGTATAGAAATTTTTGCAGATCATTTTCTGACAATAAGATCACCTTGCTCTTGCTGAACTTTATTTCAGTGTATCACATTTCATTAAAAGTGGTTACACTTAAGCAGGCAACTTGAATAATTCATAGTATTATGTCAGTACTATATTTATCAGCCAATTATATAGGTTGATTTTGAAAACTAAAGCTTAAATAAGATGTGACTGTGACCGTAATTTGTTTCTATGAACCTGACTTTTTTATAATTATTCATGGTTTGTTTGCTGACTGCTGGCAAATATCACAGTACTGTAAAGATTTTATTTATAAGAAGTGAAGATGAATCACATTTTTCTTTCATTGTTCTCTGTATTTTAAAAGGAGGTTAAGATTAATATGATCAACTTGATCTCCTTGGTATATGCATCGATTCCTTCAACGAAAGTCATCAGTTAAACAGTATACTCATTGTAAGCACCATTTCAGTCTAAATGTAAACTGGACAAGAGTATTAACAAAAGGAGTAGCTCAGAATCAGGGGCAATGATGTTTTTGCTGCTCATTTCCTGTTTGTGAATAGGTTTAATTCTCGTTAGTTGAGTAGGTGTTCCACTGCACATTTTTCTCCAAGGTACTGAGTTACCAGTCAGTGTATAAGAATAAATATAAGATTATCAGGTCTTCTAGAGTGTTGTTTGCCATGCACTTCACTGTAATTAAGGTTATTACTGCTTTGAGGCAACTGTCTAATTTTTGTTTGTTCTGATTGCAAAAGTGTTTGAAATGGATACTTATATTTGACATTCCTTTGGGCTTTGCTTACAATAAGAAATAGATGATTGAAAAAAAGGTTACCATTTCCATTTAATCTACTCTGCTATAAGAATTTCTAGTTGCCAATCTGGTTTGCCTACAAGTATCTTTGGTTGTATAGTTAAACAAGATACATCCTCTGTTTTACTAAAGGCAGGTATGGATAAGCAGCCCTGATCAGCGGGGTTTCCTAAGAAGAAGTGTCAGGAGTGGGCAAGCTACTGGCTAAACAACCAGTTTGCAAATGGAATTGGTTCAAGCAGTAGTTGCCCATCTCAGAAGTTTCTTTCCAAGCATGCTTCCCTGTCAGGCTGATTTCTCCAGAAATGCCTAAAGATATTCAGTTTTTTATTTGAACAGTTATTTTATCTGCTAGAAATTGCAAACTAAAGTATGTGCTTAGAGCTTTAACCTCCAGTTTTGCTTACACACTCCTGTTATGGAGTTCAAAAAGATCAAGTAAGTTATGTGGCCATGCTGTTTCACTTGCTTAACAGTCATAAGAAAGGATTAAAGACCATTCATAACATGCAAATCCAGTTCTTTGCTGTACTTTTTTTTGAACAGTAGTAGACACTGATAAAGAATTCACTTGCATCCATGTATGTATGCAATTCGTAGAGAGTAAATTTGAATGGGTGCTGTAATCCCAGTCCACATGAATGAGCAATGCCTTGTGATGAACACAATCAAGAATTCTTTTTCAATGACTCACTTTTTAGATCAATAAACAAATAAAGAAATTGCTTGTGCAAAAGCTGAAGTGCAAGCACGAATGTAGTGCTACACTGCCAGACACATGATATTTACTCCCTAATCATCAGTAACATCAAGTAATTAATAATATTTGCTTTTACTGAAGCAGAAGTAATTAGAAGAAAAAGGATAGCATTACTTGATATTAATATTCATAATCCTCCTTTATTAGTGAGGAAGGGGGGAGAGGAGGGGATCTAGTTTTGGATGATGGAAAACAGAACCTTCCAGACTTTGGTCAGACACTGATTCATGGACATGGGCAACAGCAACTGTGTCTGCAGATTTTCTCCTTTGACAGAGACTGACTATTAGACGGTGCTCATTCATGTGGATAGGCGTTAGGTACTGGCATGCCACCTGGTTTACAGATTGTCAGGCAAGTGCTCTATGGTGATAGTAACCCTATTTACCTATACCTTTCTGAGAGGAATGTTCTTGTTCAAATGAGATTTTCTCTCTCTTTATGTGTGCATGCTATATCCTCTGGATACACTTGAAATATTCAAAATATAAAAAAAATGAAATCAGTTAGCTTAAAACTTGCTTTTTAATTGTCTTCAAAAAAAGAAAAAAATACAAAAGTTAGATGGTTGCCTTGAATCTTCTGTTGTGCTTTATTTATATTTTGTACAGGTGTTTAGCAGCTTGTTATGGTATTTTTAATATGTATATAATAGATAACCTTTTGAGTATTGAGTTAAATTACTTAATAATCTTGTGGTTATAATAGCAATATAAAAAATCCCAGAACCTTTCCAAAATTATATACCTTTTTTGGCAGAAAAGTAGCTGTAGGCCAGGCAGATATAAACAGTTGTAATGTGCTTAATAGATAACAAACTTAGAGAAAAATGTGTTTTCAAAACTTGTCACACAATTCAAATTATTGTACCTTTCTCTTATTTAGAAAACTGCATTAGTAGTAAAGAGATGCAGAAAATAACATGTATGGGAGCAACACAACCAGGTGTAGGTGCACTCAAAGTAGTTACAACAAGTATGGGTATACTGCTGCAGTCTGTACGCTTTTGCCCGAGTGAATATTAATGAACTTTGCTTTCAATAATAAGTATTTATGTGCTTGCCTATTACAAAACTATGAGAAGAAACAAGCGATATCTTTTTTTCTTGATTGTTTGTAAATAATGCATTTCTGTGTATAGATGATCCAACTGGAAAGTAGGATAAACACTGTGTTCATTGTATTTTGTGAGTGACTGGTTGCAGGAGATAGATATAACTGTAAGATTGCCTAAGTATCAAGAGTATTGATTACTTTACAGGAAGTGTATGTGAGTAATCTATGGAATATATTTATGGATTTTTAATTTTTGATTATATATTTTGATATATTTTCCTTTTTTTGCTGGAAGCATGATCAATGATCTAATGTTTTACCTGAGCAAACAGTAATTATCCTTCGTTTTCTTTCTATAACTAAGGTTAAATATATTATTTATATGTATTGTTTTGTTGTATATGTATGGGTGGTTATTATTCTTTACATATTTTGAGTTCAGATTTAGTTTGCATATTAATATTTTATGAAAGGTTTCATACTGTAAAGATCAGTTTGTACCAGTGGGTTTTAAAGGAAATAAATTTAGTGTTTTTTTCAGATGACAGGAAATTCATGGCTTCCTTTAGCTAATAAAGTAAAGAGTGGCAGTATGTGTTTCTTTACCTTTTATACCCCACTTCCTGGTCTTGATGCTAGATCATTTTTTACAAAATGTCGCTCATGGTATGTATGATATTCGGGGCTTTGTGAGCCTCATATCAGTTAAAAACCTTGCTACAGTACACAAAGACTGAGGAGGGAGAAACATAGCTGTAACTTAAGTAATGCTTTATTGCAGTAAATGATGGTTATAATATTCAATAATTCTCATTTTTTTAATGTTAAGATTCCTTTCCTTTATTGCTAAAATAAGGAACATTTACAATTTACCAAGTGAAATACTGCAGTCCTATCTACATATTGATTTACTACATATTTTTACAGTAACCATATATGTCCATGAATTGCTGAGTGGAGAATATTGAACATAAAGACACTGCCAATTTATATATATACAGAATATACACAATACATCTCTACCTGCCTATAGTATGCAAAACCAACCATTAAAACTTTGATGCCAAGCTTTGATTATTGGTGGCGGTTCTCTTCATAGTATCCTATTTATAAAATAGCGACTTATTTGAAATTTAGTCAGTTGCATTGTGAATTCCTGCTTTTTCACCCTGCCAACAAATCCAGCACAATTATTTGAGTAAGCCCTATTTTTCAGTATTAAAATATTCCAAACAAAAAGATTTCACATCCAAAAGTTGATCAGTATGATAATGGGTAATATATTTCCCTTGACCTCAATACACATACTAGACAGAGGAAGACAATGCATGTGATCACTTTGGGATCTATGGATTTAAGACCCCCCAATTCCATGCCCTTTGTCGGCATGGGGTGAGCTTAGGAGATGGGGACTGAGGCCTAAGGTAGGGGATCACCCCTACCTTGGGCCTCAACCCTCTTCTCAACTAATTTTGCATGGACTTCTTTCCTTTTCTTCCTCTTTTTCATTCCCTTCAATCCACATTCTAAAGTGAGAGAGCTTCTGAAAGGATGAAAGACTGGCTCTATCAGTCTTGAATGGCCTTCATACTCCATTTGTAATTTTCTCTTTAACCTTTTCACTATCACACTAACATTTATCAAAGTGCTGTATGACCATTCCTTGCCTGGGGCTTTGCCCCTAAGCCTAGCCCTATTGCTTCAGTTTGTATACCACGCTAATGACCTGAGGTGTTGACACAGCAGAAATTTTTCAATAAATAAAAAATATAGACTTGAGAGCACAGTACTTGGCACATAAGATCTTCCTTTCTATAACTATTGGCATTGTAAAATCTGTCATTTTGCAGATCATAATTTTTTTTTGGAATACATGATCTGATTCATAAATGAATAATGTTGAATAGACTGAGTGAGACTAAATGAGGCAAAATATGGATCATTATACAGGAATGTTTTGATTTCACTTAGAAATTGAAGAAAATTTCCCCCTTTGAAATGAGTGACTGAAAAAAATTGTCTGAATTATTTGTCAAACAAATCAGTCAAAATGATTTACATGCTTTTTAGCCATGTTTTATAACTAAAAGTAACTTTTTACCTTTCATTTCTAAGCTCTACCTGCTATTCTAAAAGTAGACTACTACTTATATGCATTAATTAACTGTTCCAGATTTCTTGTGAAAGTTAATGAGTCTGCTGGTTTCCTTTTCTCCAAGATTTGTAACCTGACTGGTTAATTTGTCAAGCAGCGATCTCAATAGATGCCTCAACCATGTGTCATTTTATGACCTAACTCCTGGACCCTACTTGTCTTTTTGTAGGAGCCACTAATTGAGGACTGCAGCTGTGTTTAAATGGACATCATTACTCTTGCACTTTGTGTCGTTTAAAGTCCACAAGTCATTAAGATCAGAATATTAACAAGAGCAGTGCTAAGCTGAAGATCAACTGTAACAGTCAAATTATCAGATAACATGAAAACTAAAACCACTGAATCTAAACAGTGTGTTTTTGTGTACTGTAAAGAATTGTATTTATAAGTTGGATTTTTTTTATCTGACAATTTTACTTTAACAGATTGTCTTGGGTATAATTGTAGTTACAGTTAGTTAAGGCTTTTGTCCTTTACATTTTTTGTATAATCAACTTCATAGTATATTTTTTCCAGTTTTAATTTTTTATGTGTTTTCCATTCCATTCCATGTAAGTTTAACACACTTTACCTCTTATATATATATATAATGCATTGTGGATTTCATTAAAAATATATGAAAGTAGCTTTTTCAACTTCGGCTTTCTGATGCACTTCACTGTACGTCACTCTAAAAATTACTTCCAGTATCATCGATGTATTTTGAAGGTTTCTTTTGTTGTCCATCCTAGTTATTAAAATTTACTTAGTAGTTAGTTAGTAGTTACTTAGTAAGTAGTAGTAGTAGTAGTAGTAGTTAGTAGTTGTAGTTAGTAGTAGTAGTAGTAGTAGTAGTAGTAGTAGTAGTAGTAGTAGTAGTAGTAGTAGTAGTAGTAGTAGTAGTAGTAGTAGTAGTAGTAGTAGTAGTAGTAGTAGTAGTTAGTAGTAGTCGTAGTAGTTAGTAGTAGTCGTAGTAGTTAGTAGTAGTAGTAGTAGTTAGTAGTAGTCGTAGTAGTCAGTAGTAGTAGGCAGTAGTAGTAAAGAAAAAAAAAACAATAATCACACAAGGCACCAATATACTTTTCTTAAATTGGGATTTTTACCTTAATCAGCTCCTTCAAGTAAGGGGAACATGATTTTAAATGGCCCAAGTCACTGGGTGATGCCCGTATAGATATCAAACAGATTAATAGATATTCAACAGAATGCATTTAGTCTATCTCATATAAAATCGGTAGAAATTTGATTTCATGTGAAATCAGTAGAAATGAGATGGGAATATCTTCGGACGACGATATCATCTAATATGCAAACCATAAGCGATAGAACTAATCATAAAAGATTACAACATATATCTAAATTACGATAACAACTAAAAATCATAGTGGTCTGGAGTAGAAAAAATATAATATAATAGACGCATTCATGATATAGCCATTATTGGCCATTCTGGAGTTTGCATGCGCATTCAAGGGGCAGCCTTACACGAACGCCTAAACGTAAACAAACAAATACTTTTGATGGCTCTAGGAGACGTTGACAGGTATGTGAAGTCTCGAAGAGGTTGTGCCGTTATTTGGGAATATTACGGAAACAGGTCGTGGAATTTTGCAAAATTTAGATGTGAATATATGTTATGTGTGTAGACGAAGGTGTAACATTGGGCAAGAATATGGAGGCGTTATATGAAAGCTCGTACCGTCTCGAATTTGAATTGTATTCGGTTGCCTCAGTGCCTGCGGTGCGTCAGCCTTGAGCAGTCTTTTGCAGAAATTTGACCATGACACAGTAACACACACGGGGTTTGAGGTCTATCAAAGTAAAAATGTGTGATATATATGGAGTAAATGAATTATAGGAGACTGGTAAATTAAACTTGCCGGAAGAGGGGATAACTGGCAAATGCATGAAAGATGCCCTTTTGTACCAACAGCCAAAACCGATCTGAAATTCCACCTTGGTGTTCCTAAGTGACAGGGCACATTTATTAGATTCAAGTTAGTATGTAAAGTACCATCAGACTGTAGAGTTTGGTCTGCATGGAGGTTTGAATCTACTTATGTAGTAATCAATATTCTCGTGCATTTCTTATCACTAAGTTTGATATTTTCAGATATATCTATATTAATTTCTTCATTATGAGACATTATCTTTTGATTTGTTTTGGGATTCAGGTCAGTTGGACTGCTTGGTATAGGAAAGGAAATGATAATTCATTACCCCTTAAAATCTGTGGCGTGTGAGGAGGTCTCATGGCGCTGACACTGCAGTTAGGGTTTAGGTGAGTGGTGGAGGTCATTGAGAGAACAAATTGTTTGCTGGGGAGCAGAATAGGTGAATTAAGCACGGCACCTAATGACCAAAGGGCCATAAACGTGCCCTATCGCCAAGGTGTTAGTGTGAAATACAATTTTTTTATATGAAATGTTAATATATGTATATGTAACATGTAGTGTTTGCCTATTTTTCAAAGGTCCAAGAAGATGCAAAATGCACAGGAAAAGTCTCGAGTTGACTGGAAGTCTGTCCAGCCACAGAAGAAAGTTACATTTTACGGACCAGTAATTAGCACGTAAGTATTTTATTCCTCATGTATTCAAATAATTTATAAATATTATTTGCATAATTTAATCTACATGTAAGATTAAAATCATATGAACCAATATTTTATTTAGATTGTACTAGATGATATATATATCTATCAAGATGACTCTCAATAGCCATGTTTTCAATTGGTGACAAATCTATTTCAGAAAAGCGGAAAAACTCCGTCCAGTTAGGATAGACACCACCACAAGAAGACAAAAACCCACACTGATGTCTTTATCCAGTTCACCTTCCTTCAACCAGATCTCCCAGTCTAATAGGAAACTAAGGCACCATAAGTCTAAAAGTAGTGAAACAAGACCACACGCAAAAATGACTGTCATGGGGAATCAGCTAAAGACCAGACTTAATTGTAATCATATGAGACCAAAATGTCAGTGTTCAGGTCCTCCTGCTAATAAGGCTAAACAGAGTAGAGTTAAAGGTAAACCATCAATAGCAGATGTTAGAGAGACAAGTCACATTTTAACATCAACATGCACAGTACCCAGGGGTGGGCTCAATGGAAGAAAAATCTATGCCTCAAAAGATAACAGAGGAGGAATATCAATATTAGATGCAAATTGGAGACCAAGCCAGCTTACATTTAAGGAGAATGACATGGAAGAAAGTAAAGGCAGACAAAAGACATCTCCCAGTAATGAAAATGAGAGTAATAAACAAAATACTGAGGATATATCAAAGAAGAGAGTCCAGTTTTCAGACAAAACAAATTCTGGAGATGTATCACATGAGAACCCTCATGCAGAGACCAGCCAACGTAATCCGATGAGAAGAAATAATAATCTGGATGATTATGAAACTAGGCATGAAAAATCAAAGCATCCAGAAATGACAGGTATAAATGAAAGGCCAGATCCTTTTCAAAGGAGGCATAGTCATAACAGTTCAGTTCATGATTCAGAAAGCCATGATGATTATTCAGAAAAAGATGGGGATGATTATGACAGCACTTCCTCAGTGTCAGAAAGCAGGAATCCTGTTCAAGAAATTCACCAGGAAAGATGTACACTTTGTGAATCTCCAAGATTCAGATATCCCACAAGCCCAAGGTTCAGACGAATGAACTCTGCTTCTGATTTTGTTACCTCTGGAGTGAGAGACCCAGGAACTAGGTCCTTTAATATCAGTCCATCTAGAAAAAAGTATAATGACGACTTGTGTGCATTATGCAAAAGACAGAGTCGACGCTCGTATTCTGTGGATGACAGATATTGCTATCATTGCGATTCCACTGACTTAGATTCTTATGATGCAATATGTCATCATAGACACATGAAAATACCAAGGGATCATGGCTTAAGAAATTTCTTACCTAGGAGGCAGTCAGTTCCTGTTTTTTTCTCAGATGGGGATGAGGAAATCTTGCAGAGGAATCGTATACCATATGAACCAAAAACAGAGTTAGTGAAAGACTTGAAGAAAAAACTTGAAAGAGAGTATAGAAATCAGGATTATTTGGTAAGTATGATTATTTTCTCAATGAAATATCAATCCTTAAGTGTTGCCTCATATTATCAGCAAATTTACTAGTTTGGGTGTGCTTTAGATTATTTTTCTAGATAACAAGAACTGTGAATAAGAAAAAAAGGAGGAAAGAAGAATAACAAGAACATTTACGCGCACACACTGACACATGCAAGGAATCACGCACAAGTCAGAGTATTGATTTACCCTATAGTAGCAAAAAAAAAATGTCTACTATGATATTAACCCCTATAGACTGCAGTTCCTTTGCCCATCTTACCCTCTAGCTGCAGATTACCCCAACTTTTCAAGTCTTTTACTTGGGCAGATTTTATCTTAAATTTTTGAAAATTCAAAGTTGTACAAGAAAGAATGTGTTCTTTGCTAAGCACTGGGGTCTAATAGAACATGTCTTTCAGCACCACTTAGTTCACCACAGACGGAAGTGGAAGTCTTGGGATGCAGAAGATCTGGAGGAACTCCGCCAGTACAGATCGCGCAGAGCAGAGAGGCACAGATACTGGGATTATGATGGTCCTCCTCATAAATGTATGTATCTTTATGGATTATTTAGCATGTTCTTAAAGGATTTTGTGTATATTGCTTTCATGTTATCTTATACTTGTTATATATAATATATTAAAAGTTAGATAAGGAACTACTATGTTTAAGAGTATACATACATTTTATACAAAGAAAGTGTACTGTTGTTTTTCATTGTGTTTAGGTAGGAAAAAGTAACTTCAGACTTATATGGTACACAGCAATTTCTTTTCAATACATTTTCTATGCGTCCTCTTGTCTTCTAGACTACCTATTAAACACTCTCTCTCTCTCTCTCTCTCTCTTCTTCTCTCTCTCTCTCTCCTCTCTCTTCTCTCTCTCTCTCTCTCTCTCCTCGTCCTCTCCTCTCTCTCTCTCTCTTCTCTCTCTCGCCCCCTCTCCGCTCTGCCGGCTCTCCTCTCTCATCCCTCTCCCCTCTCCCTCCTCTCTCCCTCTCCCTCTCCTCATCTCTCTCCCTCTCCCTCTCCATCTCCCTCTCCCTCCTCCCTCTCCCTCTCCTTCTCCTCTCATCTCTCCTTCTCCTCTCTCTCTCTCTCTCTCTTATCCCCCTCTCTTTTCTCTCTATCCCTCTCTTAAATCTTTATTATATCTCTCTCTCTCTCCTTCCTCCTCTTTCCCTCTCCCTCTCTCTTTATCTCTCTCTCTCTCTCTCATTATTATTACTCTCTCTCTCTCTATTATCTCTCTCTCTCTTCTTGTAGGTTTATCTTTATATATCATATATATGTCTCTAATACCATTCAAGTACATTCTCAATATAGTTTTATTTTATATTATCTATTTAATATTTTCTCCACCCATTTTCTATTATTCTTTATATTTTAATATGTTTTTCTTTATATATCTCTAATTCTATCTGCTCTATTTAATATCTTAGCTCTCTCTACTCTAACTATCTATATTGTTCATCGTCTACATCTCTCTCTTCTCTATCTCATCAGTCTCTATCTCTCTATCTCATATCTCTTACTATTCTCTTACTTCGTGCTCTCTCATCCTCCTCTCTCTCTCTCTCTCTTCATCTACTATACTAATCTTCTAAATATTGTATCGTCTCTATTCATTAGTCTTTTATTATGTATATCTATTCAGTCTCTCTTTATCTATCTCTTACTCATCTACTTATATATAGCTCTCTCTACTCCTATTCATCATATCTAATCTATTGTTACTCTCTCATAGTATATATTCTGACATCTCTCTCTCTCTCTCTCTCTCTCTCTCTCTCTCCCCTCTCTCTCTCTCTCTCTCTCTCTCTCTCTCTATCTCTTCTTCTCTAGCTCTCTCTAATTTACTCTATTATTATCTCACTTCTCTCTCTCTCTCCTCATCTCTTTTACATCTCTTTATATAATTCTCTATTCTCTCATCTTCTATCTCTCTCTCTCTCTCTCTCTCTCTCATCTCTCTCTTATCATCTCTCTTCTCTCTCTCATTCATACTTACTTCTCATCTATCTCTGTAGTATGTATCTTCTCTCTCTCTTCATCTGTATTTATGTATATCATCTCTCTCTCTCTCTGATATGATGTATTAATCTATCTTCTTCAGGTCTTTCTCTCTAGATATAGTATTGTATATATCATTATCATTCTCTCTCTCTCTCATGTAATATATAGTATATATATATGTTATCCTTCTCTTCTACTACTTCTCATTCTGATATCTCTTTCATTCTACTCTCTCTCTATGTATTCTCACCTCTCTCTGTATTTAATCTCTCTATTCTTACTCTCTCTCATGTGATCTCACATCTCTCTCTCTCTTATTCTACTCTCTCATCTCATTCACTTTAAATTGTATCTCTCTTCTTTCTCTCTCTGATATAATATAAAAATCTCTCTACTATTTTCTTCTTTTATCTCTCTCCTCTCGTCCATCTCTTACTCTCTCTCTCTCTCTCTCTCTCTCTCATCACCATATCTCTCTC